TTGCTGCTCTGCACATACTACATAGGGTGTCTGCGTAGGTGGTTGTATGCATACAGTGCTCATGCTGACGGTATAAACGGTTTAAATTGTCCTGAAGAAAACTATATTTGCTTTCCTTACATAATAAATGGTCCTCAAACCCAAGCAAGGTTCCATTTGCATGTCCACCAAAAGTAAGAATTACCATCATTAGCATCAGTCACACTAAAGTCCAACAAAATGTGCATGCATGAAAGTGCACACAACACCAAAGTTTAGTTAGCGAACCGATACAATTTATGCTTTGGCACTTCGCTCCTTTGCCCGAATAAAAAAAGCAGGCTGGACATGAAAAGCACAGAATGCCTCCCTGGAGGGGGCAGAAAAGGCCAGGGGCGGGACTGACCCACAGGGAGGCAGCAAAATGGGGGTAGGGGGGGTCGAGTGGGGTGGTAATGATGCCAGGCTGAACAAATTGCAAAGCGAAGGTAACGTGTTTAAATGTAGAACATGGAATTATCGTGGCAGCAACATGGAGAGGAGATCAGAGAGACTGAGATCCACAGGGAGTGAACCACCACTCTCGGGACAGAAAAAATGCAAAGCCCGTCTATGGCTACTGTGATGAGTTCAGCTCTAATACAAAGTAAATGACGTGAAAAATAGGGCAAAGTGTCTCACACAGTGTCACAGGCATGGAGTTTACAGAATAAGAGAAAAGGTAGAATATAGAGGCAGAAAACCTGCCACTGTGTCACTGTTCCACTGAGCTGACCCCTCCACAGCCCAGTGTGGCCCTATACCCACCCCTCTGCTCTTTTTGCCCTCAAATGACACCCCAAATAAATAAATGAAAAGACAAAAAATGGAAAAGGGGCAGAAGAAAAACATCTCAACTTCAATCTGTCCCATCTTTCAGCTTCAATTTGAAAAAATCAAATTTTTTGTTCAACTTCATAAGAAGACTTCAAGAGGGCCCCAAGACTCCGATCCCACCACTGCTCACTGGTAGAGCTGAATTCCATTAATTATGTGACCTACATAATCTAGTTAACATTCCAGACAGACGGATAGAGAGAGTGTATATATTTGCCAATAGTACAAAATGAGGCTAAACTTATAGATTGTAAGGAATCAAACAATTCTGGGACCGTGCTTTTTGTTCTATTGGCTCATGACACTGTTTGCATGTTGGTTTATTGAGCCAAACAAACAAGGAACAAACTCCCAGCTCCCTGTGAATAACCTGGGCAGCAAACTTTTGATTTTCCCATAAGCAAGAATGACTTGTACCTATTCTTTCACTGCCAAATAGTCAAATGAATAGGTCTTGTTTCCATTTCAGGATTCAGACAGTTGTTCAGAGTTTGCTGTGCTATATTTGCATCAAACTTGCCACAACAAGCTATTCTGTAAGATCAGAGCAATGAACTCAGCCACACATTAAGACAGCTTGTCAAAACAAATCTCAAGAAAGGAAGATAGTGTCTTGGTAACAGTGTGGCTGCCTTAGCCTTTGAGCTACAGCGTCATCCTCACCGCAGCTCCTGGGCTGATCTCTTAATCAGTGTCCAGAGTGTGCATGAGTCCTCTTCTGAAGGCAGAGGCTCTGTCCATCCTGCCTGCCCATCACTACTGCCAGTTCCAGCCATGAATATGGAGCTGTTCTGTGGCTGGGAGCTTGCTTATGTTTTCTGTCTGATATCTAGGCCCCATTCCCATTTCAAAGGGAGGTCCACCCGGGGCCTTGACTTTTTGATCTGCCTGGCGACTGAGTCGACCACCTGCATGTGGGATCAGCTGCCAGTGAGAGCAGACAACCCCTCTGCTTCAAAATATACATCCTCCCCCCTTTCGTCCTCCCTGCTTCATTGCCCTTCACTCTGCCCCCTCCTTCCGTGAAGCTGCCAGGAACCCCAGTGGTCCTAACTGGGTCTGGAGCTGCATCCCATTCCCAACTGTTCTGACCGTGGTGGGCGAGACGCTTGAGATGTTCAGTATAGCAGCAGGAAGGCTCACAGTACAGTCACAGGGCAATTTTGTATTTACGAGGAGCCGTAGTGTCAATGTGCCATGGAAACAACAGAGACCTTATAAAAGAAACAGCCCATGGCTTCTCTAATCAGGGATTGTGCTCCACATTGTGAGCTGTAATGCCTTCTAACGTGTCATTTAAACTGGATACAATTCAGGATTACCCCCGCCAAGGCCTAATAGTCCCCCTTAAATTCAATTAAGTTGCACCAAATTGCACACAGTCATAGATATCAGTCCAGGACAGTCCAGTCCTTTTTACTCAGGAACCAGTTAAAGATGCTAAAACTCCTGTAAGGCAACTTGTTGTCAGATCTTTTCTTTGTGGTCCAAAGAGGCCGGTGCTCGTACTAACCAGCCACTATGGAAAATATATTAGATTGATGAACATAGATATTAATATAATATCAGGATTTCCTTTCTGCCTCATTTGGGATCACGGTGCCTGTCATGGTATAATTAAAACCCAAAGGATTCCAGATGATTGAATTAAAAATTAAATGAGTGGATGCCCTGGACGCCAACCACTGGACCACTGACATTCACTATGTATGAATAGAGCTGACATGAGACTGCAGAGGCTACGTTTGTGAAGCTAGTTATCAACCTGCAACCAAATCAATAGCACCTCCAAACACTATTCATACTAATTACCCTCATTGCCATGTGATGAGTTTCACAGGCAGAACATTTGTGAGGATGAATTTTCAAACAAAGCAACAGCTATTTAAGATGTGTGTGTTTCTGAACGTTTCTTACAATAAGTGATATTCACAGAGTCTTTAAGTTAATTGGCTTTCTTGAACCCTGACAGCTCGATTAATAGGTGTCTAATTGTTTCTCAGCTGGGGTGATAGCCCCTAAACCACAAAGAGACTTCAAGGAGAGGTGCTAGTTTAAAATGAACTGCATCAACAATGGAAAAGACACCATTTATCCTGTGCATCACAAGAAATACCTCCAATATGACACTCACACACTCAAGGCCATAGTTCATGATCAACTTAAAATTGTTGCTTGTTGGAAAAAAAATATATCTCTGATAACAATGTGAAACACTTCCCCAAAACTCCCCGCTGGAACAAAACCAAAACATCTGCTTTCAAATTCCACTAATTGCTGCATTCCAACAGAAGGAACAAAAATAATGAAACAAAAAAATGGAATAATCATCAACATGAGAATCTGTGTCCACATCTAGTTTGTGAAACAAGTGCAGAGATGGTAACATATAACAGTCGGGGTTTACTTCACCTATCTGTAAGTTCTTTTTTATAATATATTAGTGCAATATTTGTGTGTATAGACGTTAAAGTGCACGACAGAGCAGCCACCTCCCCAAATGAAATAACAATTGCTCTGACATCGCACACAAATAAACAATTAATCAAAAGGCAGAAAACCAGGGGGACAAATAATTAAATGAGTAGGGAAATGGTGGGGGGTAGAGGGATACCAGTGAACCATCCTGAACTCACTTTTTTGCCCTCAGTTCTCCGTCTGTGGTTATAAATGACTTGAGATTTGACGTTTCCAGCCCACAACCTTACAACAAAACACTCTCTTTTATTCAAACAGTGACGGAACTAAAAGAAAACAAAAAAATGACTTTTTTGTGAAAGAAAGGCGGAAGGGGGGGGGGGTATGTTTTGCTGCTCCCATCAAGCAGAAAGGCGGGTGGTAGTCGGAAGGGGCTCGCAGCCGGGCCCCACTTTAGAAAGCCCTCATAAATCCTGATTTGAGCGGGGCGGCTAACCAGAGGAGGTAAGGCACGTCAAGAGAGGGGGGCTGGAGAGTGTTTGGAGGGGGGGTGGCAGCTTGCCTCTTAAAATGCTACGTCTGATTAAGTCTTCCCATTAGGTGACAGCTGAACTTTAACATTAATATGATAATATTGAAATAAGTGTGTGTTATTTACTTCAGCTCCGGAGGTGGGGACAGGGGGGGGGAGAAGAGAGGGAAGGAGGAGGGAATGATGAATGATTTCTGGACAGCTTTGGGTGACATGCCAGGCGAGCTGACCCCCCCTCGCAATTCTCCTCCTCCTCCTCCCATAATCAGACTTGACAAAATGGAGACATATGCAGAAATATTGGTTACAGTCGGCATCACAGCCCTTCTCAGGCCTTCCCTCTCTAGTAACTGCCGGCCGCCCTGTGAGCCGCCCTCCAAATTGTCTATGGGCATTGAAGCATCTATTTCAATTGGCACTTCCTTCCGGGCCCCGGGATTTTACATTTAGTCTGTGTCATTTACATATTACTCTTAATCAAAATCCACAGTGGGCGACAAGGGGAGGAAAAAAGAACAAGAAAGAGGGAGCGAGAAACAAAACCGTGGCGTCACGGTTCAGGAGTAGGCACACAGCACTTTATGAAATGGAGATGTGACAAGACATTACGTTGTGTGTGTGTGTGTGTGTGTGTGTGTGTGTGCGCCCATTTGTGTGACTTGTGTGCATGTGTGTGTGTATTAGGAGGCAGTGCATTAGATAATGCAAGGCCTATTGAAATATTTGCGTGTGAATGCCTGTGCTTGTGCGATTGTTGGGGGCTGCGTTGTGCACGAAGCAGCCAGCAAGGGAGACAAAGACTGCAAGTTGAATATGGGTTGTAATAAGGCTTGAAAAACAAAGGCAAAGAGACGACAAGAATGGAGACGTGTACAGTGTGCACTGTCTTTTTCAGCTGGTGTCTGCAGGGTGCTACGCAGGGCGACTCTTTTCTCAGTCAGACCAGACACTTAACAACAATACATGTCACAGAGCACACATTCACACTGATAGTTTAGTTACAGAAAGGACAAAAAGCACCCAAATGCTGCATCTAACCGAAGTTGCTTTCGGTTAGATGCAGCATTGCTTTCCCAACATGTTGTATAAATTCATCCACAGATTCATTTGTCTATAAATGTAAGTGCTCTTTTGTGTATTTATCCATAAACCTGTGCACAACACGTACAGAGAGGTGCAGAAACAATGTCCCTACCTGCCTCTTACCTTCTCAGCATGCCGGTAAGGATGCGAGAACTCTTGCCCAGGTTGGCGTCTGTTTCTCTCAGCTGGGGAGACAGAACCGGTGAAAGACAGGTCTTAGTTTTCATTCTGATCCAACAGCTCTCAAGGTTATTAAACGCAGGCTATGTCCAGAGCAGTCAAAATTAAAAAGAATATCACTCCTCTTCTGACAAGCTGACTTTTTATGTCTCCATGCCAACGACAGCCGTGGCAAGAGATAATGGGTTTCCAGGTTGTACATCCATCCGTCCTTTGTGAATATGATATTCTATCTCAGGAACTGATTGAGGGAATTTCTTCAAATTTGCCAAAAAAGGTGAACGTGGACACAATGATGGGCTGATTTCCTAATTTCGATGGTCAAGGGTAAAAGGTTAAGGTCAATAGGACATAAAAAAATATATTTCTGACCATTACTTTTAATTTACGCACTCATTACAACATAATTTCACACAAATGTATAGTATGATTGAAATTGGGCTCAGTATTTTGTCAAAATATATTTTATATATTTTCACCATATAAGTCTTGCTTATAACTTTTAGATCCCAAAGTCCATTAACAAGAGTCATCAAGAGCAGTTTTATTCTGACAGAGAGAAAACATCGGTAACGATAACTGATGGCTTTCTCATCATCTTGCTGTGGATCAACATTAAAATAGCGAATAAAAGAAAGTAAGCAGGACAATTAACTTTTGACTTCCATTGCAAGCATAGAGAGTCCTTGTGGACACAGTAAAAATAATGATCATGGCCATCCAGTATATGCCCTACAATATTTTCCTTTTCCTTGCTCCATCTTGTCTCTTTTCTTTCTCTTTGCCTTTTTTTTTTTCCCTCGGGGTCATATGAATGTTTTCTTCGCACTTTCTTTATCTAGAGTAGGGACTTTCACAGGGAGGGGGATTGGCGGAGATGTTGCCAGTGAGATGTGAGTGTGACTGCGAAAAAATGCTGACACTGCACAGAGCGAGCTGCCACTAACGTCCACCTGTAGTCGCATTCCTAGAGGATGATGGGGGGAGTGTGGGAAAGAGTCGTTGCTGAGAGTTTCTCTCTGGAGTCAGCAGGGAGTCATTCATCTCCTTCTCCCTCTGAGACAATCACCGCATTCCCAACAAAGCCATTCTCAGTCAGTCGCTTGTCATCAGCATATTATATTGCACTTTTAATTCATAATTTTCACATCTCTTCTTCCAACCTTCCTCCTGTTCCAGCATCACTCTTTTTCTTGTTTGTTCTGGCTGATCTTGCAGTCATGTCTCTTGCCTGCGATGCGCCCTCTCTTCCCACTCCTCCTTTGCTGCTACTTTCTTCTTCTCCTTCCATCTTTCCTTCCTCCCCTCTGGCAGCCTGGGCTGGTGCGATGCAGGCTGCCAGAGCCGAGGATACATGTGGTACAGCGTAGGAAGTCGGGGACCTGGGGTTTGGGCCCTCTGGCAAAGACAACAAGTCCTGCAGTAGCCTGATGTCTGCCTCTACCCGCAGATCTGTGCCCCCCTAGACACTTCACTTTCTCCCAAAATACACGTCTCTCTGAATCATTCCTTCTTTCCATTCCTCTCCCTCTCTCCACAACCTCTCACCAAATCACATGCTTTCCTCCTTAACCTAAAATGGAATGCATCTGAAATTTTAGTGCAGCTGACTTTCTAAAATTAACTGTGCTTATCTGTATGGGGAGAAAGAGAGGAAGGGGTTTCTTCCTCTTTTTTAATTTTTCATGTTTCATTCGCCGGAATTATATACGTACATATTCTCTTTGCATATAACTTCCTAAATGTTATTGTATCCATGTCCTTTCAATTATTAATTGCTCAAATAAGGCATTTTATAAAATAAAAAGCCTTGAGGATGGAGATGCAATTTTTTAACTTTAAAAGCTTCTGGGCAAGATAAAGGCAAACAAAATACTTCTTTATTCCCACTAATCGTCCTATATGAATAATCTCAGATGACTAAAACTTCCCCTCAACGCACAAAATTATGCTAACAGTTAACATTAAAGTTATAGCTTGTTGTGGTTAGACAGCAGGCTAGCTATGTTTATGTGTGAACCCTCATATTACTTCATTCCTGATGCCTAATTTGTGGCCACAGATGGACGTCCAGAAAATGCAAAGATCATGTGATACAGAGAGAAGATGTGCACCTGATCAAGAAATAGATGAGTGGACACATTTAATGATGAGATTTTAGTAAGTTAAGTGGTAGAATTATTCATTTGGGGGAACGAATTAATAATTTGTGCAGACAAATTGCTTATTTTGTTTCTTGAAATGGCCCTTAACTCAATCATTTTATACACTTAAATTATGAATTAAATATATATATATGAATTACTCATTTTAGGGTGTGACTATTAAAACATACTGCTTGCTGTCTGATTCTCTATGAATGAACCTGTAGAAGGTTTAAAGCACTTTCTTCAATCCACTCCAGGTTTCAGAGTTGGAAGCACATCGCTTTGACCCGGTGCTGAAACCTTCCACTGACTCAATTTGTACCATAAAAGCTAAACAAAAGGCCACACCTCCTGCTGCGCACAGGGGTTTGTCTGTAGGTGTGAGTGTGTGTGTGTGTATTTGTAGGTGTATATGTGTGTGTCCATGTGTTGGAATTTATGCTAAAACTCTAACTCCTTATCCTCCCATCCATTAATACATAAGAGCCGCTAACCGTCCCTGTGTCTTTACATCTTTGCTTCTTTTTACTTTACTTTCGCCCCACAAACTGCATTTAAAGCCCTCCGAGAGAGTGTGTGTGTGTGTTTGTGGGGGTGAGCAAAGAAGACTCATGGGAAGAAGGGAGAGAGAGACCGAAAGCAAAAGAAAGAGAGAGCAGGTACTCTCAGTAGACACTGTCGACCGTTTTGAAAGGAAATGTTTGATTTCCTTTGAAATCGCCTGTGCGAGGCCCACTGCCATGTTGTGATCTTTAAGCATTCTGCGTTGAGGGGGCCGACAGGGTTGGGCCCCCTTCCTGTGTTTGGTCTTTTCTGTCTCTGCCTACCTGTCTGTTTGTTTGGCTGGCTGGCTGGATGTAAGGAGGGGCAGCGCTAAGGATAAAGACGAGGGGGGGGGGGGCTCTCTGAGGGAAAGCGAGAAGGAGAAGAAAACCGGCGAGGAATGCTGAGTAGTGTAGGTGAAGAAGGACGGCAGCTGGCAACGTTCAGGTGAGGAGGGAGTGCAGGTTCCAACAATATGCAAACATGGTGGCAAAATATCCTGGACATTATTCTAACCTTCATACCGAGGTGACACCACTCACTAAACATACTTGAATACAATATGCTATCAATAAATAAGCACATTTAGTAGCTTGTCAAAACAACATCGCTGACACTCTGTGTGAACAAGTGTAAGCATACCCACGACAGTGTGCGCGCCGTGTTTGTGTGTGCAGACTTGCATTTGTGTGTTTACTGAGCAAACCCGGCGGAAAGGGGTGAATGCTGTCAATGTTGTTAACCAGTTGTAACGCCTTTACTGCCTCACAAACACGTGTTAAAATAGACAGATGAGTGTGTGCAGGTGGCGTGTGTGTACTCACTCTTTCTCTGGCTCTCTGGATCTTCTCACGGTCGGTGTGCAGGTTGGCAAGAATCTCCTGGCCCACTTGTTCTGCAGGGAAGAAGACGAAGTGTGAGGAAGAGGAAATTTCCACCATTTTACAAATGAGTCAAAAAGAACAGGCAAAATTACTTTTTTCATATTGTTGGAATGCCCACAATGATTTCATGTTATTCATCCATGTTTCAACTATATGAAACACATCTTTCTGTCTCAATTATCTCCCACCATCATGACCAAGTTAGAAATAACATGATATTTTTTAGCAGGAGTGAGCATTTTTAATTGGAAGAGCATAATAATCAGAATATAGTCATCGTGTGGTATTTTGTTCTTTGACTAAGCAGCGACAACACTGTCTAGAGGGATATATTGTAGTTATGGGAAATGTTTTTCGAATCTTCTTAAAATACTGAAGTGAACAGAAACGAAGTTCTGAGCAACAATAACCCAGCATCCACCCTGACAGGGGGGTCTACTCAGCCAATGCAATATTCATTGAAGCATTCCTTTTTTTTTCCAGTTGTAGATGTAAACACATTAACGCACAGTTATAAAACATCCCTGACAAGGCACCCGACAAACTCGTCAGCGGTCAATGTCATTTTCCTGTCCCATAGGTGGGGGACGAAAAAAGAACCAAAACAATAACATAAACCAAAAGAGCCCCCCCCTCCAAAAAAGACCCCCACTGCTTCCGTCAATGTAACCATACTGCTTCAGCATTAGCGTCTAAAAATGAGGGAGGCACAGGATGAATCAGGAAAAAAAGGAAAAGGAGTGAAGAATCTTTGCATGGATCAAAGACGGGCTTTCAAGCACACCAAACAAATCCGGAATAAACAACGCAGTCGCTGACTGTATTACACTACACAGGTGCCGCACACCAAAGGGCCCACGTGCTGAGCGCCTGTTTAGGGGGAGCAGTGCAAAAAATGGGCTACATCTGGCAGCCAAACAAGAGAAGAGAGAGAGAGGAGAGGGAGACATTGAGAGACAGAGAGAGAAAGAGGGAGAGAAAGAAAGGGATCAGGGAAAAGTAGAAAAAAAAAAGAAAGCACTGTCAAATGAACGACATTCGTCTCCCATTCATCCCATTTCTTTTACCCCCCCCCTTACACTGTAACTGACTCAAATGTGCCTCTTCCTGCCTTCATTAATTTCTAATCTGGGACGAGACAGATTGAAGGATACCCAGATTAAACAGTGCAGTCAGACAGTCACATGTGACAAATAGTGCAGATTAAAAGACTGAGTGCAGGTATTAATAACCATAAAAACACAAGCCCTCCCCCGTCGCCCATTGGAGAAGAACAAGGGATAAACAGGAAGGGAGTTGCAGCGGAAGTATTCTGTTAAAGAGCCAAATAAGCATGTCTATCCATCTCTGTCAGGGCTGTGGCTTTTTCTTTTTAAATAAATGAGTCTGACAAGTACTGCAACAGCAGAGTGTTTTTTGGCAACTGCATTATTGGAAAGGTTTGCAAAACGTAAAAAGATGGATGAGCTCGTGGGAGAAGAGGCCTCCAAAGATTTTTCAGCACTGAGCCATCATTACACGCATCCTGCTGAGGTGTGTGCTGCAAGACAATCAAAATAAAAACTGTTTTAAAAGAAGAGGAGAAACGATGAAAAGCTTTTTAAATGAGCTACTTTTCAATGGACAAGTGAGGAAATGCTTTGGATTCAGGTTTCTGCCTCTTGTAGGCGCTGTAGAGCACAGAATGATATAAACCAGAGGGAATACAACCCCTAACTTTATATGTGAAATACCAAGTGATTGCACAAACCACATAAAAAAGGGACTGTTGACAAACTAAGTAGTCGTCAAACAAAATGTTGAACAAAATGGAGACATGTCCACAACAACAGGAACGTTTCTGGAACATTCAGGTGGGGGTTGGCGCCTGAGTAGAGCAGCAGGAGGAAGGATATGATTTTTGAATTCTGCTGTGGGAAGCACAGTGTTTTGTTTACAGTAAATCAACAGCGGCCAAAGGCTCTAGAATCTTGTTGTCTGTCCATGTTGATACTTTCATCTGCATCTTCTGGGTGTATGGCAGCTCTTTTTCATTATCTATCACGTGTTAATATGGTCTTCAACACACCAAGTCACTGACTGTGAATTTGCCTGCTGTGTTCCCACATTGACTCACTCTGAATATTTCCGGATATTTTACTCAGGAGTTGGCAGCAACAGTTAAGAGCAATTTGGAAAACTTCAGGAAAATGTCCACACTTGATTGCATAACCCTGAAAGTAGCTCTCGATGTTGAGAGAGAAGGGCAGAGAAGTGTCATTAAGCAAGATGGTGAGCGAATTTTTAGCCATTAAAAAGGTAATGGAAGAAAAACATATCATGTGACATAGAGGAAACCAACAGTGGGATCTTCTTGATAGCCACAATGAGAGACTCATGAAATCATTTGCAGTTGCATTCTCTTGGGTTAAAAAACAAGTTTCATAATAGCTTCTCAAAATCTCTCCACAAACACAATGAGCCATTGGAGGTGTACACAACTCCCCAGGGAAACCATGGTGTTCATTGGCTTTACCATGCATCTTCCTTTGCATTACTCATTCTCTGACATGTATCTACATTTCCATTCATCGTATTTAAGTCGTGCCGACCAGCCGTGTGTGAAAGAAACCTGTTAGATACTGGAGAAGAGATCTTCTTGGCAACAAATGATGAAAAAATGGTCGAGTTAACAACAAAACTAATGTGCCTGTACAGTTATATAATAAGTTCATGGCGATGTGGGTATTTTTTGGTAATAACCAACCTCACATTGCATTTTTGGTTGGTAAGATTAACATGTTACATAAAATAAAGAATTTAATACTAAGACAAAAACATGGTCTATTAAAATGTTCAGTGGATGAAAACAATGCAGGAGAGGGGATCTAATTTTCCATTAAAGCCCCCGACTTGTTGCTCGTTAGCGTGTAAAATATTCCCGTCCTGTTTAAACAGCTATTAACAATTTAAATAACCCTGGCCCAGAGGCCTTGTTCTGACTCACTTGTTAAAGATCTCCATCCCCAAAGGTCCATTTAACAAGCCCATTATTCCATTACATTACACTCACACCAGCACCACGGAGTTTTAATTTAACTCGTTCCTCCAATGTAACTGTAGAAAAGAATTAGCACAGAAAAGTTGAAGGTACAAGAAGGCAATGATGGCTGTATAAGAATTCCCTATAAACCCACGGTCACGCTACTGGCAAAGCAAAGTCCAGATCTAATTTATCTCAGCTCAACACATCACTATTGTGTAAATAATGATGAGGTAGTCAGAAGATATACTGTTTACAGGACAATTAACTTAAGTGCACGGAGTAGTATAATCTGTATTTTCTCTTGTCTGCTCAACATATAATTTATAAATTTGTATATACATGTAAATATCATTTTAGTGTCCACGCAGTTTGACTCATGAAAACAAACATTTCTTTTCTGGTATGACCCAAACTTCCCCAGGCTTCAACTTTCTCCATTCCACAGACACAGTTTAATTGGAGGCATCATTTATTTTACAGGAGCTGTTTCAGAGCAGTTACACACTGAGAATCCCTGTCTCTCTTTCTGTGTTGCCTTTTCTTTTCCTTTTTTTTTTTTTGCCTTGCTCCCTCTGTCCCCAGAGCTGAAAGGGTACAAGACCTGACAGTGGTGAGCTGTGAGGCTCAGCACAGCTCCTTTTCATTAAGCAGTTGAGACCACTTTTTGAAGGTTACCACACACACTTATATCCGGACACAAGCCACACACTCCAACAAACGGGGTATGGAAGCCCACGGGAGGGTCGAGGGGGGGAGTGAGGAGGAGCAAGATAAATGTTGGACCATACATTTTCTATCTCTCTCACTTTTTTACACACACACACACACACAAATACAAACACATGCACTGTACATACTGTGCACTCAGTAACTTATATACCTGTGATTCCCAGGTGAATAAAGTTACCTGTCTCGGTACACTTCCCAGAGAAGCTTTTTTTTTTTTTTTTTTTTAAACTTCTCAAGTCTACAACCGCCTGGTGAGACACTTTCATCACCTCCATCAAAGTTGTACCCACACTGGGATGTATTTATAATGCTGAGCCCACAGGCCATGAGGCTCGCACCTTCTCACTGAGCTATAGCTCAAAATAAAGAGGTGCACAATGCTATGTCACAGAGCGCATTGAGCATCTTGGGACTTGTGATGCTATGACATCGTACTTGTAGCAATAACAACAAATTTGATGGCATGTTAGGTAACCTTTAAACCTTTATTTCTCAATACAGAGCAATGACGAATTTTAAAAACAGTCCGAATGATATGTGTTTCAGAAAAAGTGCATCGTCTTCAACCTTCAGAGCAGCAGAGGAACTGGTCTGTTCATGCAGGAGTCGGCTCTTAAAAGGCCCAAATCAAGTAATACACTGGGCAGGGTAAGGCTGGGCCATCCGAGTCCATCCTGACTTAGCCCATGCATCAGCCCTTCCCCTTACATGAGTATGAGTGGTGGTGGGCAGTCAGGGTGGATTTCTGGGGCCTTTCTTCACTCCGCCAGGCTCTGTTTTATTCATCGCCTGCGCCCTGACCCCGCAGAGCTCCTGTTCTGACAAATCACTTCTGATTAAGACAGATCTCTGTTAGTCAGCCACTCAACTTGGCCTATTCATCATTCCACAGAAAATATTCCTCTCTCCTCCCCCAGTCGTCCCCCTCCCGGCTCGTTTGCCTGTCCGTCAGACCGAAGCAAGGCGCAAAAGAAATTTCCGCTGCTGTTTTAAGTGGCTGATTATAGACAATTGGTGGATGGAGAGACGCAAGAGCGTCTTATGGGTGATAAGACGCAAGTTTAATGGGTATAAATGACCGGGGCTGTAGGAGACCAGCTGGTAATAGAACCATTTGTTTAAAGCTGAACCAGCGTGGAGAGAACTGAAAGCTGCACTTTCCCTCTATTTGAGCTCCCCCTCCTCTTTTCCCTTCACCTCAGCCTCAAAGTCAAATTCTCAGATCACCAGATTTACATTTTCTTTTAAACAGCAAAG